GATTATCACTATTTTCTCAATTGTCATAAATAAAATAGTAATCATCTATGGTTAGGTATGGTTTAAATAAATAATGAACATTAAAAAAAAATATCTTAAAAGCAAATTATTACAAACAAGTAACAACTAATAAATTAATTCTAAGAAAATTGTAAGAAGTTATATAATAAAAAGCAAACACAATTTTACTTTATTAATATATTGTAAAAAATAAATTATTTCCTTGGCATATTTATTTATTTATTTATTTATTTATTTATTTATTTATTAAAATACGGGACGTGCCCAATTACAAGAATCAAAAATACATAACATAAAATAGGAAATTTACATAAATTACAAGAATACAAATACAATTAGGATAAAGAGCAAATAGACATAATAACATAATAACTATGAACGTTGCATAAATTACAAAATACAATTAAAATATTAAAAAAAAAAAATAGAACAACAGATACCAACAGATATTATAAGTAAAGTAATATTAGCTCACAAATTGTACAAATAGGATATGCTATATGCGATGTTTTTATTAGATCTATATTATATTCTTTATAAGTGAATAAAAAAAAAATTAATTGTAAGTAATGTGCTAGTTCATTTTTATTTTTGTTGTTCTTTAAATTAGGTATAAGGTAATTCCCACACTTCTAGTAGGTACCTAGAGTATACAAGAGGGGTGCCGGGATGGAGATCGTAAAGTACATAAATAGTGAAATTTTATCATATCGAGTTAATACCATACCTATGTATGATAAACGTTACTATTAGTGGCTCATACTATGTAAATCAATTAATTTCATATTAGTAATTGGGTACATTTTACATACAGGCATATGACAAAAAACAAATTGCATGTAGGTATATTAATACGTGCGGTTGTTCTCCATCTGCATAACTAATCAAACAACACACTTTAATTATTTTAAAACGTGTATAGTAATTTATTCTAAAGACTATAATAATTTCTCAATAATAATAAACTAAAACACGACCTGACCTCGCTAAAATAACAAATTAAAATAACTCTTGACCTGCACCTGTAACGTTTAAAAATCACACGCTCGAAAAACTGTCGTACCGGATACGACCCCAAACAAATAACACAACCGAATCAGGTGTGTATATATTATACATATTACGTGTGTATAATATAATAATATGTACCTACCTACCTACCCATATACCAGCTATATGGGTACGCACACATGAGTTGGAAAAGAGGAAATGTTTCGGGTACAAATTGTGCATGTTGCTCGATTAATAACAATGCGCACTACGACCGTCGAACATATTAATACACGTTACATGTATGGCATTTAACAGCCCCGAGGCCATAATAATAATAATATGATTGTCAATATAATATTATATACGGACGCTAATGATGTGTGAAACGTATTATGTACACCGTCTAGAGACACCTGTGCCGTTACCGCTGCTACCCTGTGGGAACTTGGCCGCCGGCGATTTACATTTTCCGTACTAGAGTATGCACTTTATTACATACTCCTGCACCTATCCGTACACACATATCGTTTCCGCTTTATTACCTTTACGCAGTCCGAATTCGTAATTTCGATGTTTCGCCTGATTTCAGATAGCCCCCATAGTATTTTAATTAGATTATCATGTGAACGTGGTGCGTGTAGGGGAAAACGGTATGCGATGTACCTACCCATGTACCTGTACTATAGATATTGTGCCTATACAATCCGCGTGATTGTGTGCAATGCACAGACATTTGATCGCAAAATATGTTCTTGAACTTTATGTAGATAGGTAAGTACCTACCTGCCTACGTAATTCGACCTTAACGGTTATAACTTATATTTTGAGAGGGCCTACCTGTACTCAAATTGTTGTAAATATTTCGACATTAAACCTATTATTAGATAGCTTCTTTGCGACCTTGTCACGTCCAACAATTCTTAAAGAACAATATTAATTGAAAATCACATTTAATAATACATTTTTAAATTTCGATAAAATTAAATAATTAAATGGAAAAAGGATAAATAATTATTGGTTCCAAAAAAATGAAAACTTATCTTAAGGGAGTTCAATATACAAATGTATAATAAAAACAGTAGGTACAACTTTTCGTTTTCATTTGCAATGAACATTTTTTTGTTTTACACCATTGTTATAGCACTCATTAGCATATATTTTTTTTTTTATCGAGGAAACAAAAACCAATCCTTTAAAAGTATTTTAACTAGATGTACTTATGTTTTCGAATACTAAAAGACAGAAACGAAAATAGTAGCAATATCTAGATACCCGTAATTGTAGACATTGTATGTGTCAACAGTCTATATTATTATTGCACTTCCTCATAATTTATATTTTGTACATGTTAAGCTGAATTATATTATGTTTATTCTATTCTAACTAAATTTATCACATCCATTACAATGACTGTAAAAAAGAAGTGCCGCCTGAGGAGATCACCCCCTTCCGCACCATTATAAACATATATTACTGTATTAGTTATTATTTATTACTTATTTCAAACACCTTTGGATCAGTATAACAGTAGTCAGTACCTACCAGATAGGTAGATACTTTAAAACGATATTACAACATTGTACGCAAAATATTTATATAAATATAGATTAACTTAATCAATTCATCTATTTTACATTTCAATAAAGTCTAAAATCTAAATAACAATAATGCTATATTGAATAATATAATATATAAGTAGACTGTTACAGTTTTATTTTTTTTGAAACTAGAATAAATTCAATCTTAAACTCTTCACTAAAGTTAGATACAAACTACAAAGTCACCCCTTAAATAGACCATATTTTTCAATTATGATCACGTGCGGAGTTTTTACGGATAAGAGAACTGGGAAGTGTGTAGAGTTTTGCTAAAATTTCGTTCGTATTTAATTATTTATGTGAGATAAGCGATTACAAGTTACAACACCTGAGTCCACTTAACACAATTGAATTTCACCTACTGAAAAAAATAGCCGAGTAGGTAGTTTGTGAAACAATGACTTTGTTGTTCAGAATAAAACTTTTATCTTGCCGTGTCGTTAATTTTCTTTTCATTTTTTTTTTCATTCAATTATAATAAATTAAACTAGTATAAAAAAAAATAATAATGTGGACATATTGTGCAGTAAATACTTACCTACTTACTATACCTACCTGTATAAATATTTTGTATATTATAATTTATAATAAACTTTCTTTAAATAAATTAATAATCAATTTACAAACATCATACTTTTTATATACCTATATGGCTATAGACTATACATCGCGTACCTATATAGATGAATATAATTGAAGAAAAAATACAATTACAACAAATTGTATTATTGAATTTTGTAAAACGCAATAATGAATAGCTTGTTTTGGCATTTACAGTGGACATTTTATTTTTCACATTTCACTTAAAATATGAAAAAATAAAAATAATCTGAGAATAGCAACTGCGTAGAACGGTTTTTTCTACACGATACCATTAGATTATAATTTATAATAATAAAAAAGTATTCAACTCAAACCATTTTACCCGCACACCATCCAAATAAAAACGGTTTTCTATAGCACATATTTTTTACCCAACCTTAACCTATCAAGAGAACCGCGGAATGACGTGGTCATTCAAAAGTTTTCTCATACCTATGTCCTAAGCTCTTTTTCAAATGAGAACGCACCGGGCAGTGGATGGACTTGGCTGGTTCCAGTTTCGGCATCTGCCCCGCTCGCTCCACAGACCATAACCGTTGATCTGAACAATAGTATAGATACTGGACAGGCTATATAGTACGAATTCGAATAAATTGCAAAACTTGTGATCTTTGGGCGAATACGCAGAGGAATGCGAAAGCGGCAGATATTTAACCAACATTTCACCAAATTGTATGATATTATATTATAATTTATAAGTTTATAACACTCACGAGGCGGTACTAAACGTTTCTAAATAATCGATTTTACAATAAATATTGTAAAAATATTTAATTTACAGTAGAACCTCATGAATTCGGACTAATTGGGGCTCTAGGTTGTCCGAAATAATGAAAGTCCGGATTAAAAAAAATAATCAAAAATCGTAAATTATAAATTCAAAAAAAAATGTATTGGATAAAATGCATCATCAAGGGATTGATCTAGTGGCAACCGCATTCTTTTTGCAACACTTGTTTCTTTTTCTACATTAAATTTCAAAACAAATTTTCTTACATCATCTTTTTATACTTCGTTTTCGTGTTTATTTTAATCTACGGCATAAACTAGCGTAATAATTTACGTATTATAAACGGCTGTCCGGATTAAACGATGTCCGGACTAATGAGGTTCGGATCAATGAGGTTTTACTGTACTATTAGATTAACTTCAGATTACTTAGGTACCTAGATGCGACATTATTAAATTAATTATCTTTTAGGTAGAATGTTATTTTAGTTTAAAGGTAGCTCAAAAGGTAAATTTTAGTTTTGGTAAAGTTATTTTTGTATTTGTATTGTAGGACAATAATATTTTTATATTTGGATGCTTTTTACTTTTAACCGAGATCGCGTCTTTTGAGTGCTAAACACTCCAACTAACATCCACGGTTTAATAAGTTTATGTTTAGAACTGAACTAAGCTGATGCCAAGGCGTCTTTGTTTCTACTTTCCACACTATCAAATTCAAAAAAAATATGTATGGACAAGTTTCTTTTAAACAATATAATTATTTCATCATACTTACTTCTTTTAGATTTTTGTAAAATACTTAGAAATTTAATAATAGATAATAATTTGCTATTTTTATTTTTAATTACATTTACTAAAATTATGATTGGTACATACTATTAAATAAATAAATTAAACTGTTTTAACCATGTAAGTAACCACTTTATTTTTCTAAAACACATTTAATATTTCTACAAATTGATAACATAATATATATTTCAATTAATTGCAATAATCCACTAAAATTTAAAAAAAAAATTAAAATTAATTTAGGAAAAAAAACATAATTCTATACTTTAATAGCCAATATTTATTAACTTATATTAGTATTATTTATAGCTTCACAATGAAATACTGAAGAAATACCAACAGAATAATAATTTGTTTATCACAAGGTTAACAGACTAGTATGTTAATTTCACTTGTTGGTGGACCCTTAAAAGTACTTTAACTTATAAACATGGTTTATTTAAGTATTAGATGAACATAACTAATTAGTTTTGAAAAAGATTTTAATGGTATAGACAAATTACTTAATCAATCTAATAATTTGAATGCTTTGATTTTGAATGGATTTTTGAAACTCTTCAAGTAGCTGTTAAAAAAATACAAAATCATAATCATGTCATTTGAATATTTAAGTGTACCAAGTTAATTATAACTGAGTAATATTTTAAAGTTAAATTCATAAATATTATAAACACATACATCAAAGCATATTTCTGATTCCACTAGTACTCTGTTGTGTGTATTATTTGAACAACATGCCAAAAGAGTAGGGTACAGTATTGAAGTCAAAGTGGGATTGCTGAAATACTGAAATGGTAACGTACAAAGTAATTGGAGTACTGTTGGGGACTGTCCAGATTGTAACATTGACTGAAAAATAGGAAAAACGTAAAGATTCAACTTTTAACTTATTTACCCCTGTATTGGAAGTATTTTATAAATATAATTACTTGATGCTGAGAACTGTTTAAAGTGAAATATCCAACGGCAATAATAACCTCATTTAAAATATCTTTGGTTTCTGGTTTTTCTGAACAAAACCATAGCAAATATCTAGCTATATGCCGAAATTGAACTGATAAACTTTCAGCTCTAAGCACTTCCTAAAATATAAAATTAGGTGTTACACATTGTGGACACTAAATGCATTATATTCTTCTAACACAATCAGTTATGTTACTATTCATTTTAGCAGTTTCATCTTACTTGGAATGTTTCTGGATCCATTTTAGCAATTGATGTCAGCATGCTAAACACAGCTTTGGTAACTTTTAATGCGGCAGCAGATATATCTGTTGGTCCGAGACCATTAGCACTGCAGTCATCACGTAACAACACACTGTATAAGACTGGCATTACACCTAATAACTCAGTGTTTTTAAGAATTTCCGTGAACTTTTTAACAGGCATGCCGATGCTAAAATGATAGAACTCAAATAAAATGAAGAAAATATTTCAATTATAATTTTTTTACTTGACTTCTGAAAGGCCGCCAATAAAGGATAAACAATGAACAACAAAATCAGTCACATGTCCATTGGTTTCAGGGTAACTATCTCTTACTAAAGTGAAAAATTGTACAATCTTGTCTATTATACCAATATAACATATATAACTGAAAAAAATAATAAAAAATATTTGATTAAAATAAATAATAATATAATATCTATTAGATCATTACCTGATAAGGTCATGAACATGTTCATTATCTTCTTCATCAATAATTTTAAATGATAAGAAAACAGTGGATAATAATTCCAATAGCTGTCCACTAATTTCACAAACAGTTTGAGCCTTCATCTTAAAATTATTTTCAACGCCAGTATCGGGTAAAATTTTCTACAGAAATAAAAATATTTAATGTACCTAAGTATATAATGTTATAATTAATTTATGAATTATTATAATAATAATTACATTTAATTCAGCTGTAAGTAAATCCAAAATAGTAAAGATATTTTCTGAAAATATTACATTCTTTGAGTTTGCATCACTACGATTGCATACTTTCAAAAATAGTTTAATTGCCTTTGTTACATGTCTGTGAACAAAGTTTTAAATGTTCTATTACAACAAACAATTAATTATTTAAATTAAATTATCAAGACAATTGTATAATGTATTTGAGGTATTTTAATATAACTATAAACAATTTTAGTTTCTGACATACTTCATCATAAAATCCGAAGTATTTGTGCTTTTATCTTCATTCAACCCAATCAATAGTATTTTATTTAAGATTGTCAAGCCGTCACTTCGTGAAACTAATGATTGAAAATCTTTTGCCTAGAATAAACAAAATAGCATAATAATTATTAGTCTGAACGTTTTATATTTATTTATCATTATTAATCTTTAGATTAGTTTGTTACAGATCTTCATGCCTCCCTACTCTAATTTAATTGATTCACATCCTTCTATTTTACTTTACTCGTATCCTTCAACAAGTTTCTTAATTGTTGTCTAATATACTTGCATGCCTTAAATGTGTCCTTAATTAATGTCACTATATTAGTCCGAAATTATATGCACTAAAAAAGTAACGATCACAAGTTTTGGTGTTGCTAAAAAAAATGTATGAAAATATACACCAGGATCCTGGTTATAAGTCTAAATTTCTTGTTTAAGTTTAATTTAAATAATACAGCAGCACGAGAAAAACATTAAATTAATCATTCATTATTAAATAATAAAGATATACAAATATTATTTATATACTGTAAGCATTTTAGTGTACAGTAATATCTATATAATAGTTTTAATATTATATTAAAAAGACAAATTGTTAAATCGGTAAAAACAATTTTAATATAAACAAATTTGAAACATACTGGAATTTCGTTTGATCGTTTTTCTAAGAATAGTAACTTTGTTTCCAAGTTTTTTAAAGCATTTTTGGACCACTGTTCATTTTTGAGTTCATTCAGATGTTTAATAATAGAATTTACACAAATTTCTATTGTTGTTTTGTCCACTGATGAATCTTGTTTTGGCGAATTATCTTCCACTTTTTTACTTCTATGGGATTATAAATTAGCTTTGTAAATAATCATACAAAATATAAAAATCATAAAAAAATAATATTAATACTACCTAGTCAAAATTCTGTGTCGTAATTTCATACATCGTTTTCTATTGTTCTTCATTTTCAATTTGTTATCATTATTTTCATCAGTTACATTTGTATCTAATGAAATGGTATCAAAAGATTTAACTCTTTTCAATTTCTTCTTCTTCACATCTTGACTGAACTTATCTATTACAGAATGTTCAACCTTTGTTTGTTTTCTAATTTTCTTTATCCGTTCTTTATGGGTTTTTGTCCGTAGGTGATGATGTAAAGCAATCACTGATTCAAACTACAAATTTTAAATGTTGAATAAATAAATAATAATACTGTCTTTTATTAAAACTTTGTTAAATTGTTGTATACATAATTTATTTCATTTTAAACTTTTTACTATTAGGATTTATTACAAAAATAAGTTTTATTAATTGGTACCTCCTTAAAACTGTAGTGTAATTAAGTAATTAATATTGAATTACAAAATTGTTTATTGTACAAAATATTCATACAATTTAAATTTGTTAATACAATACTGTAAATCTATGACCTTTTTTATGTACCTACAATCCCATTAACAAATCCTAAGTATTAAAATATTGATTAATTTTAATAATAAGGCATGAATAAATATTTTAAACTATACATACCAAGATTTCACAAGATGGGCAATATCTGTCCATGTCAATATCATTTTTCTGGACGCCTAACTCAAGAGCCCGTTGCCTAATATGCTCAATATTTTGTTCATGTCGCTTGGCTGATTCCTTTTGTTTTTGTTGGATTTTTTTTTGCAATTCTTCAGCACTAGCTGATTGTGCTGCATACAAAGCTGTTAATTTATTTTCTCTTTCCTTGGCTTTTTCTCTAGCTAGTTCAAGTCTTTCCTTTTCTTTTTCTTGTTGTTCTCGACCAATACGTTCTTCTTTTATTCGCCTTCTTTCTAATATTTGTTCTATACGTCCCTGGCGTTCAGCTTCTAATGCTTTCAAGCGTTCTTCAACTGCTGCTTCTTTAGCAGCTTTTCGCACTTGGTTACGTTTACGTTCTTCTAATATTGTTTGCAATCTATCTTCTTGTTCTTGCCAGAGTGTAAGAATATCATGTCGCCGATTTTGTGCCTCCAACTCATTAATAAAAGCTATTTCACGGAGTTTTTCTTCTTCATCGTGTGCTTTTTTTTGAATTTGTTGTAAGTGTAACTTACGATTTTCCTCAGCACGTTTAAGCTTTTTATCTATATTAATTCGTTTTTCATCAATAATTAGGGTCTGCAACATTTTTCTCTCCCCAACCTACAATAAGAAAAAAGTTCTTTAGGTAAATCACTATATTGTTTTTTTTTAATACAGTTATCTAACAAATTAAAAAATGTAAATATTACCTTCTTAAGCAGTTCACGAACTTTAGTTGATTTGTCTTGTAATAGTTGTTGACGTTTTTGATGTGCTTTAGCTTGTCTTGCACTATATGTTTGTTTAATGGATTCTGTAGATCTGCTTATATCCCATGATGGCATTGCAATAGAATCAATAGCACTCTCATTACCATATTGTATCAATGCTTTTATTTCATTTATCGTGTACATTCGTTCTGTTAATATCATGTTGTCTAAAAGATCTGAATAACGATCAGATTGTGTCATATCATCACTACAGCTACTTTCAGCATTTTCTAATTCCCGTATTTCTCTGGCCAACATCATCTCTTCGTCAAAAAATTGTCTATTACGCATCAATTCTTCATCGCACTTTCTACGTTCTTCAATTTCGTCTTTCAACATTTCTTTTCTCATCTGATCAATTATTTTATTTTTAGGAACAGGCGGCTTATCAAGCTTACGTTTCTTTTTTGGGAAAACTACTGCATTAGAAATAATAGGACGGTCATTTTTATCAGGCAAAATGCTAATAGTTTCTGGTTTATCTGGACTACATACTAAATCTAAAGCTAAGGTAGGCATGGAACTAGCAGAAGATGGTACTTGAAAACGTTTCTTTATATCAAATGGGGATTTGAGTTTTATACTACTTGAACTTTGCGTTAATGGATTACTACGGCGTGATCTAATAACAGTTTCCCATCCATCATTTCCTTTTACAATACCACGTTTTGATACTTTTGGAACTTTTATATCAATTGAAGTTTTAGAACGAGTTAATTTTTCTGTTTTCTCAACTGTGTTCACTGCAATTATAGATTCAACTGATTTCTTTTTAGATTTAACCAAATTGGATTTTTGATCAAATGTATTGTCTCTAGTGTTTGAATAATCAACAAAATCATTTTTAGTAGTATTTAATGTTTGCATGTTTGTTTTATCTTCTTTAATATTGACCACAATTTTATTCTCATTACATTTTTGCTTGTTTTCTTTAGAGATTATAGTCTTTGAATTATATTTAACATTTTCAATAGTCTTTGTGTTTGTAGGTTTTGTTAAGCGAGGAGTTGACGTAGAAGACACTTTTAGTAGATCTATTTTAGTCTTATCTTTTTCATCTACTTTTGATTTCAATACTTTTAAGGGTTTAGGAACAAGAACTGGAATTTGCTTCCTCTGACTGGAATCTGAAACCAAAGACTTAACAACTGGTTTTGTTATAGGTTTAAATACTTCTTTAGAAGTATCTAAGTCTGTATCTTTGACAATAGAATCAAAGTCAGTTTGACAACACTGATTAGTATATAATTTTTCAATTGAAATATTTTCTATAATAATATCTTCATTTTTTAATTGAGTAGAATTAATTGCACTTTTATCACTAGATATTGATTCAGACAATAGTTCCAATTTCCTTCGAGTTAATCCAGTTGAAATAATAGGAGGCTTTTGAATCATCTGAAAATGTAGTCAGTTAATAAAATATAGAATTAAAATAACACAGTAGTTATAAATTGACCTTTCTAGGAGAAGCGCCTCGGATTTCCCAAGCAAGGAAATTTGGTCTTTGAGGTGGATCAGTATGCTCGTATTCCCACTTCAATCGAAACCATTCAACCAAACTATGAAAATCATGTATATAATTTTGTAAGACCATAATTGCTTCCTAGAAAAAATGTAAATATGAATATACCTTTAAATATATGAGAGTCGAAAGAATGCCTATGGTAATATAAAATAAATATAATTATAAAGATTACTCACTTTACATTCATAAACATTTTCGTCAGACTCGCATATTTGGTATATTTCATCAATGTTACGACGTAAGTTGTCAAATAAAAATGCCCATGATCGATTTCGCAATTCTATTAATTTCCAGAAGTAAATAGGTTAAGAAATGAGATATAAAACATGACATTAAAATATAAACCACCTGAACGTTTATCTCTGCCTGCTGAAGCCGATCGTATGCGTAAACCAATCCTTTGGCGGTTTGGCCACATCCGCATTCGGTTTCCCATAGTACTGTGCATGCTGACATCCATTGTTTAGGTACTATTTAATTGCAAATCATAATAGGTTGGAATCTCTGGAACTAAACGTTTGACTTCCACTAAACTGGTAAAAACACTAAAAATTCTAACCTTGTACGAAATCTTAAATTTATAATATGCTCACATTAATGGAGATTTTCATCAAAAAAAAAGGAATGGATTTAAACTTCATTTACAGTGTCACACATAATGTGTATTGACGTTAATTAATGAAATTAAAAACGATTCATAACACGTAGGTTAGTAGTTAGTAGTAACTACAATAGTAAGTACGTACCGTTAAAAAAAATCAAAACCCCAACACCAACTGCTATAATACTGCAGTAGTGCATTCGGAATTGTGTAATAAATAATAAAGATTACTATAATTGTTGTTCGTTGTGTTTGTGTAATGATTTTTATCGTCACAGCTCACATTCGACTTTTCACTGCGTACTGATAAGGTTAACGATCAGGCGCGGACAAAGTGGTTTGCGCCGTTTGGCACACGTCACATGCTACAAACACACACGCACTGGCTAGGTATACTTCTCGTTCATTCCCACCACTACACCGACACCGATACCGCGAGTGGGATAGGCGAAGTAATAGTGGGAGGAATTTGAGCACGAAATCGCGGCGCTTAGTATTTAGTTCCGAAAAGGAGTAGCGTTCTTTCACTGTCCTCTGACCCCGCGGTATTGTGGGTGGTGGGCACGGCTAATTGAAATATTATAATCTAATACCCACAGTTAGATTAATGGAATTGGAATATAATATATTTATTGATATATAATATTAATATCTATTATCTATTAATCTTGGGTAGTGGGTACAGACAACAGACTACAGATAATTACTTAGTCATATTATGATTCTACAGTGTACTAGATTTACAACTTTGTTTGGAAAAAAATGGAGATGAAAAACATATGCCAGGTCAGTGGCATATATCATAAAAGAAATAGGTGTTGCTCAAATAATTTTAGGTGACCTACCCCTCATTAGACCTATAAAATGTCCTATTTTTCTTCTATTAATAACCACCCACCCATATTTAAGGTGTTGCCTGAGGCCCTGAGCAACACTTGGACCCTATGTTACATGCCACTGTGCCAGGTTGTACAAAAAAACTGATTAATTTAATGGTCCAATTAATGTAATGCACCAATCATGGGCCACTAAATCATGTTTAAGGAAACCTTAGCTTAGTAAGGATTCATTAAATGTTTAGTGATTTATTGTGCAATCTAACAAATTTGTAATTAAGAGGATGGTACACAGGCATTTGTTGTTTCCGTTTTACATGTGTGTAACATAGCAAATGTATGCTCACAGATCACATTTAGCTTCAATAATTTAAAAATTAGAGTGAATCGACCTATTATTAAATTTGTAGGTAAGAGCATTATCTGTTTGTTGATGGGTTTTTTTACGATAGTTCAATGTTTTCAGCAAGTCTTGTATATTTTATAATATAAAGTAAACTAAAAATGCTCATAAATCACTTAAAAACTGAATTTTCACAAAAAAATCACATACAAACTCAAACAATGTTCTTACTGTGAAGATTTCATAATACGTAAATTCCCTATAATTTTTAAACTAATGAAGCTAAATGTGATTTGCTGAGCATACATTTGGGATATTACTTGAAAGACAGAGATAACAAATGCCTGAATAGTTTCTTCTTAATTACTGTTACCTTTAATTAAAAAGTAAAAAATACAATAGTACAGACATAATATTGTTTAATATTTTAACATACATAAATTAAAATATTAAAGCCATTCAAGAGACCATTTAAATGAAATGACCTTTACTCATTTAAATATCAAAGACATAATAAAACAATAAGAAATTATTTTAGAAAATAATGGTTAGCTCATTGACTTTATACTAAGGTATAAGGAATAAGGTTAATTAAATAAAAATATAAAGGGAGAAAATTTTCTTAAAATTGTTTAATTGGTTAGCAGTGTTCGCACTAAATAAGGAACACTGACGAAATAAAAATGATTTGCAGTTAATTAATCTAAATATGAATTAACAGTATAGATATACATCACAATCCCGTATTAATAGAAAAACAACATAATATACAACAAATTGGTACTTAATAAACTTAATTGCCAATATACTTTAAGTTATAACATTTCAAATAAGTTATAATTATATCTATCTTTTTTATTTTTTAAGTTATATTTCTTAAGTTTATTTCTCTTAGTTATACAAAATTTATATATATAATTATTACGTAATGTACATACAAGAAATGTGGACTAGAAGAAAACCTTAACAGAATGTATTTGAATATTTGAATTATTATTAATATTTAAATAACTTCTATAGTGTAAAGTGGTAGCCATTTAGAACTTTCAAGCGCATCCCATAAATTGTAATCTTGTGAGACCAGGTCTTTGTTTAATGCATCTATGTCAATCGACTTTTTGTAATCTGAAAAAAATAATTCCATTTTAAACAAAATTATTTTTAAGCATAAAGGTTAGGTATAAAAACTAATCAGTTATATTTTTTTTAGACTTGATAACTTACCAACAAGAGTTAAATTGCCATTAGCTTTAACAACTGGAGTTTGAATAGTTGGTTCTGGCTTAAGCACACATTTCTGACTTTGAGGTTGATTCCACATTGAATATCGATGCCAATAGTTAGTTTCAAAATATTGTCCATAATCTTGACTAGCCTTGTACCCTTGAGAGTCATTTGAAGCACTAAAATAATAGATCAATTACTGTCCTGAATTATAATTACATTATTTAAAAAAAACCAATAATCACAAAATCAAAGCTAAAATTTTAATAAAATGATATCTAATAAATATATATTTTTTCAATAACAACCTAACCAATGAAATAAAATACTAAATTATTTTATACCATAAAAATAATAAATAATATTATATAATATTTAATGCAATTAATATTAAATTATTAAAGGGAATTAGATAAATAAAATACTTAAAACTCATTTAAGCTTTTATTTTTATTTAACATAGTTTTTTTTTTCATTTTTTATTCAACAGATGATTATTTTTCATTTTAAAAAATATAATTAAATCACAATTACTTAAGTACCAGTAGAATAAATAATTTTTTTAGAAGCAAAGGATATCATATATTTTCATTTAATCAAAATTATTTTTATCGTACCTAATGTACTTATTGCATAATATGTAAATATTCATTTTTTAATAAAATTTTAAAATTTGTTTAATTCATAGTTACACAAACTCATTTTGTCTAACTTATAAGCTATCTGGCATCTACAATCTGCCTATCTGAGATAAAGTGATTATTATAATTTAGTATGTCACCTATTAAAGTATTAAATTGAGGCATGTGTAAATTATTTAACATTATTAATTAACTTCCCTTGATTGTCTTTGTGTAAGTTGAGGGTTTGGAAAAAGATGGATGTTTTGTTTAGTTGGAGGGTTTTGATTTTATATAGTTACTGTTCGTCTAAAATTAGGTTCACTTTATGTTTTATAGTTTATACATCATATCAAAATACCAAATTAATTGTATTAGATTACATGAAGGTCCTAACTTAATAGATTAGTAAAACACATAAACTTAACAGTTTGCAAGTAATTAATCTATACATGCCTTTAAGGTGTTTATAGTTTCACAATAACAAATTGATATTGTTATTTGTAATATAAGTATTGAATACCTTATTTTTATACATTTAGAAGATGTATTGTGAAGTTATTTAAAAAATAGCAGAATATTATCTTACACTACAATATGACGTTCTGATTTTGGTATGACACTGCTAACCTTTATAGGTTTAGAACCAAGGCCTGGAAAACCATTCATATTGTTAAGACAGTGTTTTTGCTCTTCTTCACTGCCAAAACGAATAAAACCATATCCTTTACTGTAACCAGCACTGTCTAAGACCACTGAAAAGTTATAGCTACATATTAAACTACTATTATAGTAAAAATAGGATTTATCAAAACCATTTTTAATGATTGTGATGAAACTTATTTCAAATTATCATTATTACCTTTAGCTGTTCGTATAGATTGATAGCGACAAGCAAATGTTTTATATAACTGATAGTCATCTACATCTGAGCTAAGTTCACCTAACCACACAGAAAAATCTCTATCACTTGTAGTAATTTTTCCAGGATTTCCAGCATGATTGAGCTTAAACCTAACAGGCTGTAATCAAGTATCCAAAATTATTTAAGTAATTCTAAAACCTATAAACTCTATTTCAAAAAAAAATACCTAAGGACCTTATTTTAAAAAAATGATTGTAGGTACTATTTAATATTTAAATAATAAAAATTACTCATATTTAATATTATAGGTACATGATACAAAATGTAAAGTATAATGTTTAATCATACCAGTTAATTGTAGTGATATATAATTTATATTTAAGTGTCTATACTCATTATGTTGAAAAGTTTTGACTATTTTGAAATTTTTTTTATGCATAATTTCAAAACATTTCTGAAAAAAAATTTTTTTCTTATTTTTTTAAAAGTTTTTTACTTTTAAATAATAGTTATGCATTTCTAATTTCATACTCCAAAGCAGGAAATTTTTTGAAGTATTTCCATTTGATTTAAATCAAATTTCAAACAAGTACTTTATTGATTTAAAACTCTTAAGTATTTCAAGTTTGGATAAGCAGAGTAGTGGTGTTTAACTAATGAACACTTGTTTTAAATATGATTTTCAATTTTTTAGATTGAAATACTCCGAATAATATTCTACTTTGGAAAACAAAATGAAAAATGTAAAGAGTCATTTAAAAAAGTAAAAACTTAGAAAAAATAATTAAAGAATAATTATTTTTGGAATTTTGTTTTGAAACGACATCAAATTACAAAAATAAATATTTTCAAAAAAATTTGAAACTTTTTGAAATAATGAGTAAAGACACTAAATGTACGAGTTGCGGTACCTATAATATATTTTATATTAGATATTTATTAGTATTATTTCAAAAAATATACAATTTAAATTGACAATTCAGGTTTGTTTCAAAAGCTTTAGCTAATACTATACTATTTTAAAGTCATATTTAATATATTCACTAAAATACATAGCATGTATAGCAACAAACATGAATTATTTATTACTTATTAGGCAATACTATAATGTTTAGAGTGCAGGGCAGATAAAATAGCAGCAATTGTAACACATTGTTTTCTGTCAGAAGAATTAAAATATGCCATTTGAATAGCATAACATAACAAAACAGGAGGCTCAATATGGCACGAGGCAATTTTGTAATCTACAAGATAAAATAGTAAAGTAGGTTTAGTAGTGGAGCTGGAACTCAATCAAGGCCCTCCCATCGACTATTTAAATACTATATTATTTTATTACCTATTTAGGCTATAACCGTGATTAAAATATCACCAATACAAAATTTTAAGGAGAAGGCAACTACTTATTGTCCCCTACCAGCAGCTAGGCCTGTGTAGGTCTGCCCAACAAAACTAAAAGAGTAAAGCATAATATGCCAACAAACCACTTCCCACATTTACATGCTGTAACAAGTTTAAGCACCGAATTCCTTTTTTTTAAAGAATTGTGGGTGCATTAGGTACATTTCTAAAATATCTATCATTTATGTATGATTGGTTTGTAACCCATATACTCTTATAAATAAAACCCATATTTATGCTAGTTTTTGAATAATAAAATCATATTCAACAAGGTTCACCAAACACCAAACATGAAAACTAAAAATCAAAATGATAACTTACTGGATTAGTACCCGGTATATATTTTCCATTGAGTTTATGCATAACAGATACTGGATCATAGAAGTCAACAAATGCATAGCCAGCGGTTTCACCAGTATTTTTATTGCGCATCAACTTAACATTCTTTGGATATTCTCCCATCTTTTGAAATGCACCTGTGATGAAACTCTCAGTCATATAAGGCTCCAGCTAAAATAATACTTCATAATTAATTATTTAAAATAACAAATTATTTCACAAAACATACGCTTCCCATCCAGATACTTGACACATTTTGTCCAGAAGTAGACGCTTGTGGCTGTTGAACAGGTACGTTTGGGCTTATAAATGTTGCAGCTGTTTGCGTTGGCGGTGGAGTGTTATAAGCCGGTTGTTGGTTATAATTGTACATTTGATAGTAATTAGATGGATATTGCTGATATTGTTGATTATATTGGGAATACTGAGGAGTGTACTGATTTGTATACATGTTGATCAAAATTATACCAATAAAAGAACAGTAAGATGAATCTACTATTTGCAAGAACAAACCTCGACTATACGACTATACAAGTACTACCTATGATAAATAATTAATAAGATGAACAATTATTTAGTTTTCTGAGATTTTATATCCGACCGGCAATCAATAACCATCATAATATTCATAATATAATTTTGATCATTATGAGATTATTCACCATCACATGGAAATATGAATTATTGAGTGATAACCACTAAGGTGAGATAAACTTCGATTTGACCAATTTAACAGTTAACCGGCGAGTGTTTTGTTTTCACTGAGAACACTCGTGTCCACGTTTTCTGCACCACCGACTTTGTGAGTGCAATATGACGTGCATTTTCTAAAATAATATTATTCTGTGATAATATGAACCGTTTTTCAATTATGACGGGACACGTTATTAGCTAATTTGAACTTTCCGGTTTATCATATTTCTTATCATTATAATTATTTTATTATTTATATTTGATAATGATGTTTTTTTCTTATTAGAATTATTATTGAAAACAATGAAAACCATGAACCATGAACTAAGATATACCTTATCTTAGTTCATGTTGAAAACTAATGTTTTCAAATAATTAATCGTGTAGTCATAGATAAAAGATAGCGTGTAGTGTTAAATGCTATAGTGGAATTTCAGTGCACACTGCACGCTATTTTGTTAAACGTAGAGGCTATTTTCACGTCCGACGTGAAACTATGTATTTTCACGTCCTGTCACCTGATTGGACGTAATATTAATACTGATAGTATATCTGATATCAATTACCGTAATTGATAAGTGTTACACAAATCTATAATATAATGAATATATTATAGAATGAATATAATAATATTATAATTATTGTAAAATATTTAAATTTATGCGGGAAATATTCTTATATTATCATATTATATCTTTATCAGTTATCAGGGTTTAGTGACACTTATCAATTACGGTAATTGATATCAGATATACTATCAGTATTAATATTACGTCCAATCAGGTGACAGGACGTGAAAATACATAGTTTCTAGTGATGGGAATAATCGAATGATTTCGATAATCGAGTAATTAGTAATCGAGATATTACTATAATCGAGATATTCACTCGATTAAAATAATCGAAATATTATTTCGTCATGGTCGAGATATTCATTCGATTAAAATAATCAAAACATTAAACATTATTGATTAAAAATCAACCAATATTCAACTTATTAATACAAAATTAAAAACATGGTTAATACGAATTCATTATTACACTTATTTTTTTTTTTTTTTTATTGATCAAGAAAAAAAACTCGGCAGTTACATGGCCATTAGTTACAGTTATGGTATGGTTACAGGATTTAAGATTTTAACAGCATTTTTTCTTTTTTAAGATATTACAATATTAGAGATATTAATATGGTTTCTAAGCATTAACTGATGAGTAGAATAAAATAATACTCGAATTACTAGTATTTTATTAGTAACTAGTAACTACTAATAAATAGTAATTACTAATTAGTAATTACTGTTATCATTCGATTATTTTTCCTAATAATCGAGTTACTCGATAAATACCAATAATCGAGTTACTCGATTATTTTCTCTCGATTATTCCCATCACTAATAGTTTCACGTCGGACGTGAAAATAGCCACTACGTTTGTTAAATCGAAAAATCTCGTGATTTTATTTTTTTTTAATAGTACTATGTTAAAATAGATTCGAAGATTTGTGTTTGGGAATATGAACGATAACCTTTAATCAGTAACATAGGTACAAATTAATTTCATTCCGAGATTCAATAACCAAAATATAATATCACTGTAAACAATTATTAATTATTACTTATTAATTTTTTTAAATATGTAAACAGGTTACATTAAATGATGTATTAACAAGTTTTTTTTTATCATTAGGTATTTAAAACTTTTGTGTATTGACTATTGACACAATATCCTCACCATAAAATAATAAGATCCAAAAATAACTATTTCAATGTTACATGGTATATTATATGGAATCTTCATTTTGAAGTTTTCAACAATAATTTTTTCTCGTACCTTCTAAACATCACAAATAAATAGTTGCATTTCAGGCATCTTTTTTTTTTATTTGATGAGACTAATGCAGTGCACTTCTTATGACGCCACAATCCATAATTAAGTTCAGCTGTTGAAATATATACTCCTAGGTAAACCAAATTTAAGCCAAACCCAAAGAGTAAGAATTAAAATTAAATAAATATGTAATTATACAACATATTTAATGTTCTAATAAAATAAATAACATACAAGCATTGATTATAAATAGTACTATAATACTATTTATAATCAATGATACAAAGCAATACAATACATAAATTACCTGGAAACTCCGAAGCCATAGGTCCACCTTGACAAACTTGTTTGTAATTAAATGAATGAATTACTTCAGATAAATTTTTAAGATTCAAAGGGTTAGATAGCTGAATCAATCCTACACTTGCAGGCTCTATTATTTCATTATTTACATAACAATGTATACTTTTTTCATCAGTCACAACTATTTGTTTTTCAATGACAAGTTTATTATTTTTATATACTAAGTTATGAAAGACTACAGTTTTATCATTGTTATAAGTGGACCATCCATGTGGTAAAATTAATGAGTCAAGTGGTTCATTGACAAATACTTGTTTCTGTAAATTAAATTGCAATAAATCAGTAAATTAGTTACTTATTTAAAAAAATACTTATGTCCAATTTAAAATAAAAAACATATAATATGCAAATTAATTTTCACAGTAGGTAAATCAATCTGTAGTATTTATGTATTATTTATTTATTAATATAATTATTACTTGTACATCCACTAAACTAATTTGTTTGCCAGGTATATCTCTTACTGTAGCACTAACCGAATCAATGCTTTGTTTTAAGGTTATGGTGGAAGTCTTGAAGTATAAAAATATAATTGAATGTTTAATATATTGTAAAAATAAAAATAAAATATTAATATTACTTCTGCTGGAAAAAATTCTTTTTTTATTGTTTCAGCTGTTGGTAAAGGCCGGGAGATATTTCTTATATCAAAGATAGATGGTATAGCTCCTTTTTTCAATCTATATTTTGCTCTTGAATTATTAAACCCCTTAAAAAAAAGAAACTTAGACTTAATGTACGAACATTATAATTGGTATTTGAAATTTTAATATTGTATAAGTATCTCAATCAGTAGATATAGCCATTGATTATAAATAGTAGTATTTATAATTAATGATATAACTAATTTAGCTGTTAATTATTTTTTTATTTTAATATTTATCAAGTTTCAACAGTCAAGTCAACTAGAAAACGTAAAATTAATTTCATATAAGTTGTAACAAATTAACGAAGCCTACATAATTAAAGAAATTATACATGATATAATGTGCCTATAAATCATTAAATCATTGAGTAAAAACGTTGTGTTGGCTAAAAAAACTTAGCTATAAAAATTGAATATTTTATACATAATACTACAAATTTATAGTAGTTTTGTTAAAATTTTCACTTTAAATACTGATAAAAAGTAATTGTTCCTATGTACCGTTAATATTTTTAAATTGTTAAAATAAAAATTTATGAGGAACCTAGTTTAAAGTTTTTCGACAGAATGAATAATTTTTTATCAATGTGTTAAGCAAAAAAAACTAAAATTAATCAAAAACAATCTAAGCGAAGATGGTATAACCGAGTTAACCAAACAATTTTTTCATAACAGTAATACCTTTTTATTAGATTTTTAATTTTTTTAGCTATTTTATTAAGTAAGTATTGAGAATTTTCAATTTTAACCTTCCAAAAAAAAGAGAACTTTTTCTTTTAGAAGAGTTGAAGTCGTACAAACTCTTTCAAATAACTCACCACCTTAGCATCTTAAATTATTAGACTGGACCAAATAAAAAATCAATCAAATAAAATTGTAAATATTATTATTGTTTGGTTAACATAGGTACCTAACTAACAACTGTATGTTTATTATAATTTATATTTAAACTTACCTCAGGCATAACAACATCAGATGGTATTGATGAATATTGAGTTATAAGGTCCTCGGGTAAAAAGTGTTTAGAACAAATATACCTTAAAATCCGCTTGTTTGGAGAAGGTACTGCTGATTCCCAAGCTACTTTATTATTATCATACACTTTGAATAGTGTAACATTTTTATGATTTTCACAACTTTCACATCCGTCAATTGAACATTTACGAATATGTGGCATTTTGCAAGTATTGAAATATCACATAAGATTTAATAACCAAGGGAATTGAGATAAATTGTTGAAATTGGTAAATTATAAGAAAAATACATATTGCATTTGAATGTATGGAAATATCACATCTTTAAATTTAAATGCACATAAATATAACGCAGATTATGTTATCACGATTCACAGTCTTAATTCTGCTACATAATTTTGATTCTTGAATCTCTTAATTTCTATTTCCTATTCTCAATTTGCGTATAACCGTTTCGAGATGCAGGTGATGAATATCTTTATCTTATCAGCTATAATTTTTATCAAGGGAAGAACCACAGGGACAGGAGAAGGAGCAGTTTTCCGAAAAATGATAAGGAAGTTGATATCATGACTTATACCAGCCACGATCGGCGCAGTCCATGATCACGGATTAATTACATATCCCTATGTAGTATGTATATAAATAATGCAAAATATAAAGTTTTGTTTTCTTCTTCGACCATATAAGCTACTCTGACTACAAGTTCATATTTTATTTCCAAGGAGGCCCCCAATGGACACCCATGACCACCAGACCACCTAGGTTATGCAGAAAATTCGTAGTCTAGAATAACTTCCAGCAATTATAAGTCTTTAATCGAATATTAGTATTCGATTCAAAGTAGAGGTGTATTATAGACATAAATTATCCTATTAGAAAGATAGCAACTTTTGAGAAAACAAAATATTAGTATGAAACAACTGCATTATTTTGCAATAATAATTCCATTTATTTCTAATCCTTTTTCCAATAATTCACCATTTTCTCGAATACTGATAAAATTGAATATCCATAAAAATAATTTCTTATTATTTTCGTTATAAATTATTATTTAATAAAATCTAGTACTAGATTAATGTGTTTTCGGAAAAAAGCAAAATTGCAAGAATCTTACAGTGTTGTTTTGATCTTGGACTTGCAAACCTATAATATTGGTCTTGGTATTGTCAATGCCAATGCCATCTTGGTCGGGTCTTCGTCTTGTGGCAAGAGTCTTGCGAGACCACAAGACGAAGACCAATTTTGATCATCACTAATTTGGGTAAAATAATAATGATTTGGAAATATCAAGAGTTGCAAAAATGACACAGACCCGTGAAGGTTTTGCCCCCACACCACCAACATTATAAAAACAATAATAAATGTTTTAATATATACTTAATAGTGTATATTATTATATTATATTCACAATTGATATATTATAAAATAATACTACTGGACCAGGGTAGTAAAAAGTTTGAAAGCATGGTTCAAAATTGATTTGGGTTGAAAAATATATTTTTGGAATTGGTCTGATCCGGTTTAACAAATTGTCTTAAAGCAGCCGCTGTACTCTAATAGACAGCTTCTATAGTTGTACTGTACGTGTACCTACTAGTAGTGACACCTCAAAAAGTCACCCGACAGATAACCATCCGACACAAAACCACAGAATAACGACAAAAAGTTATTCGACAAAACACCATCATCATAATCCGACAAAATGCCACCCGCCAAAATACCATCGTACTACACTACCAACCGTATATCTGTGCACAATAATGTTAGGTACCTTCCATAATTAAATCGACAAAAAGTCAACTAAATTAATTAACAACTATCAAAGTGAATTAAGTTTCTGGCGGTAAATTTAAAATATCTATATGGGAAACTGAATCGTCCATAATATAATTTTGAATACGAAAATATGCACACGCATTAAACACACTGTTCTCAAGTAGTTTTTAATGCAATAATTAGTAGCCATTAATTGCAATGTTAACAAACAGTGTTAAGAGGACGCTATACCCTACGATTTAAGATAGTGTAAGATACTATCTTAAATCGTGCTATACCCGCATGTGTTGTCTCCGTCTTACAAGTGCGTAACATATCAAATTTTACGTTCAGCAGTTACTCTTTAAAATTAAAATATAATTAAAAACCCATGAGAAGCCCTCCGTAGTAATCTTACCTTTAATTTTAATAAGAGGTTAATTCACTCCAATTTTTAAGCTAAGCGTGATCTGCTGAACGTAAAATTTGATATGTTGCGCGCTTGTGAGACGGAGACAACACATGCGGATATAGCGTCCTCTTAAAGTTTAGTTATTAACATTTAATTTTGCTTCTAATATTAAAATTAAGACCCTGGATAATTCATATAATTCGAATCCAAAATAATAAAATAGTATAATATATCAAAACAAATTCCTTATTTTTTTAAGTACACCAACCCATAAGAGAAACTGGATATTTGTCTGGGAGGGCTAAAATATTGCATCAGCAGCACGGGCCAAAAAACTAAAATATGATTAAAAAAACTGGGAGGCCAAGCTCCATTTATCTATTTACCAATAAACAAATAACAAACTATAAACAATATATTAAGTACCTAGCTACATAGTATTGTTTTATGAGTTGCTAACTGAAGTACCTGCAGGAAATTATGCAATATAGTTAAATAGCGATATTTACGAAGTTTACAATGTTTCAAGTGGTTTTCTACTATTTGTGTTAACTGAATTTTCTATTGATCATCTTTAAAATATAAATACATACCTAACTAATATAATCAATTGACATTTTAAACCAAAAAAAAAAGGCCAATGTACCTATAGCCAAAATAATAAGAAACCTACAATATTTAATTTATTTAAATTCTACAGGTACCTATATACTTTTAATGAATGAATATTAGAAAGCTTCTTAAAGGTTTTTGTTCAACTGACCATGATCAATATGAACAAAATTAATAAATTTGTAAAAAAAATGTAAAATATGCCATATTTCTACTATAATTAAAATAGAAAATAGTGACATAGGTAGGTACCGTATATGTTACCAATGGCAACCATTTGAACAAACTAAAAAAAAAAAATCTTTTTTTGTGAGCTACCCTTTAGCTACTTAAAAAGGTAGCAGTCCATTTGTGCAAAATACAGAGGTTCTAAGGGTGCTTAACAACTCGAAACTCGTGATTATCTTAAACAATAATTGAAATTTAAAAATCTTGGATAATGGACACGTATCATCCACCACTATCATTGGTCGAGAATCTAGATAGATAGTCTATCAGCCTTATTATATAATTATCTACATAGAAAAAGACATGGTTAGGCATTAGCACGATTTAAGATAGTATGGTTGCCCGACGAATCATGTAAAGTGTCTACCGAAATCACTATTAAAAACAGCTGGAAAATTCACCACTAGCGCTTGAATGTAATAGTGGCAACAGCCTATAAGCTCAAATACCGGCATACCGCGCTGACGGTGGCGCGTAGACACTAGACATGTAGTATAATTATTATTTATTATACATTTATACTATATACGTCTATACTACTTTAATATAGTATTTTATATAATATGTATATATAATACCTATTAGTATTTTACTTCGTGATTTAAAAATACGCTATTTTATTTATTTTCTGTATTTTACATACGTGTAATACGTTAAAATTTGGATTATAACGAATTAAGTTTAAACAAATGACTTATGAAATAAATAAGTAATTAATAGGTAATAATTTTAATAAACTCAAATTAAAATACTTTAATTTCTTCTCTATGATTTAGTCTTTTGCAAATAATAAATCAAATAACTATTTAGAATTTATTTAACGAAAAAAAATTGATACAAATGTTATATAGGTACTTATATTATATGAAACAGAAATAAAAATAAAAAACTTAAAAATTCCATCTATCATGTACTAACCAATTTCGAAAGTTTTTTTTAAACTTTATTTTGTTTTGTATTGTTTTGGTTTAGTTGATAGCTGTACTGGCGCATTCTCATGATCAGATAGTATGTGCAGATATCTGTTATAATATCTGTTTGATGTTCAATGCATGGAAAATTAGTTTATGTTGTTATATTATTATTTAACTATTCATAATGAGTAAAGTTAAATTTTTTCAAAAAAATCGTTTATGGTGTTAAGTTATTTAACTATAAATTCTTACTAAAATTGTTGACTCATTATTGTTAAGAATATATAAATTCGCCGGTATAGCTCCATCTCTAAGTCTAGGTTTTTTTTGGACACACCTACAAATATATTTATATGTTATGTTTTACCTATAGTTGAATAGTTCATAAATACATTATATATCTATAAGTAAGGGTACTAACCGTGTATTTATTTATTCCATTTCCAGATACCCATGTGTCTATTACATCATGTGTCTTAAAATGGTTACGACAAACACGAGAATTATTAGTTAAGGAAATACCTAAGACATTTTCCCATTCAGACCGTAAGGCAATATTGATTGGAACTTTGAAAGAACTAATCTTTACATATTTGTCATGTGAAGGACAATTAGGTATACAACACGGCTTTTTAATTTTTAGCACAATTACACAATTTCAATACAATTCAGCATACAATTTTAAAACTATGAACAATTATTGTTTTATCTTCTGAGGATGTAAATTTGTATATATCATAGATGATAGAGCTATGGACTACGATAATAGGTAGATATTATAGTTGTATAGTGAAGTATTTATCAGGATTCAAATCGTGGTTTTTAATGTTTTTATAGAAATCTAAAATGTCATCTATTCTGTGGTAATATCACATTTTAATTGTGGGTAATATTCACGGTTTAAGATGGTATCTATCTTAAATCGTGGTAATATTAGGAAAATATTTGATACTAGTAAAGCGCGGGAAAAAAATAATAAGCTCGTAAATTCTGCTTCTATATCGGTACACATCATGTCGCAAGCGCTAGTGGTCAATGTTTCAGCTGTTCTAGTTATTTAATTTGGTTGCCAGTTTAAAACGATCTTATCATAGGTCGTCGGGCAACCATACTATCTTAAATCTTGGGCATTAGGTAAGTAAGTCGCTATATAGTCATGAACCATGATATTATATCATATCATGTATTAATACAAATATTGATGAGTACAAAACTAAAATTACTACCACGCAGTACGCACGATTAAAGACTTATAATTGCTGGAAGTTATTCCAGACTACGAATTTTCTGCATAACCTAGGTGGTCATGGGTGTCCATTTGGGGCCTCCTGGGAAATAAAATATGAACTTATAGTTCAATAAATATTACTATGATATTACCTAATTGCCAAAACAAATATGAATTGAGGATAAAATACACAATTTTTTTTTCCATACTTATTAAAATGTTTTTAAATTAACTTTATATATAACAATGCGTACATCACATGTATATTTACATTTTTGTGTGAAAATAACATTAAATCTGTATTATTTTACATTTGATAATTTTTATTTTGACCCTCGTTAAAATTTTACCTATGAGCGTCCATTCCTATAAGTATATGGCTATTAAGTGTGTCACAAAATTCTTGTATTGCCCTTGCTATATCCATAGCAAATTATGCAGTTTTTTTTACAGTATAATTTGTAAGTCAATTCTAATTGAGCATATACTACTGTACATAGCGAATAATTCACAGACACAACTAATCGTTAAAAACCCGTAGGATACTGGGATCTAACTTTGTAGAGTGCAGAAAAATATAATTACGATTATATAGATATTGTATAACATCAGAC